GTCAGTAACGTCTCTGCCTTAGGGTGAAATGGCTCCGAGGGTCCGTCTTGCCCACGCTTTGTATGTCAGCTTGGCGGTTTTAAGAGGAAACAAGCCCCCCCCCCAGATAAGCATTCTCCATCTTGGCACCTTGGAGGGTGGGAGGGTATGACTACAACGCCTACCCTGTTCCCCCGAAAATACGACCTACCCTGAAAGTAAGTTCTAGCTTGAATTTTACACGTGCGCCCAATATAAGCCCCAAGTTAAGATCCCGCCCACTCCAGAGTGCACGGGGGAAAATTAAGCTAGGGTGGAGATGGGTGGAGGGTGGAGCTACCCTACTATTTACCTTTGGACAGGTGTAGCCAGGCCTCGCACACCCCGACACTTGTCCTTGCCGGCCCATTTTTTCTGCAGCCGGCAAGTCAATCTTCCTCTGGCCCCCTTGATGGGACTTGTGGAAAGCACCCAAGATTAGAAAAAATGGAACTGCTAGTATGTTTATAGCTACTATATTTTTTAAAAAAAGGATAATATTGTTTCATCCCAGCTTAAAAAGAACTAGTGGAAATACCAGCTTGATTTTGACTTTTCAACCAAATAACTTAGTTCTGTGGAAGATGCTAGTCAGAATCACGACTTAGAAAGGGAAGAGGTTTTCTTCGGCCTCATCTCTTCCCCCTCAAAGCTCGCAGCACAAGATCCAAAACCTTGTCTCCTTTCTTTTGGGGGCCGGGGTCCCCTGCAGCTCTGCCACAACTGAAATTGGGGGGGGGTCTTCTCCACCAGGGAGTTGGCTTTAAGAGGAGGAAGAGACAGGTAGTTAAAACCCTCAGTGATCAATTGATACCAGCCCAATATCCATTATTTGCCAGTGAGTTAACACTTAACAAGGACGTGGCCAAAAGAAAGGAACAGGCAAGGCGGTTTTCTAGTTTAATTTTCTGCCTAAATTCTTCTTGGGGTGCCAACTCTTGTCTTGTAAACTTTTTCCGGGTAGTAGTGAAGGCGTGACCTCTTTTCATTTCTGGGCCAAACCTCCCCCCCCAACAATAATATCAGATGTATTTGGTGGTCTTGTCTCACAAGCCAAGATTAAAGAAATCCCACTGGCCTGGGAATTTAGCTTGTTCCCCAAACTTGTATCAGGGTTCCTCATTCTAAATATATTTCAGTTCCTATTTAAAATGGCTCAAACTTCCCTGTATGACCTACAATGACTTATCTCCAAAATGTCCTTTGCTTTCTCTCTCTCTTTCTCTCTCTCTCTTTCTCTTTCTTTCTCCCTCTTTTTCTTTTTCTTTCTCTTTCTTTCTCCCTCTTTTTCTTTCTCTTTCTCTCTCTCTCTCTCTCTCTTTCTCTCTCTCTTTTGCAATACCAGGTTATTTTGGCTTGCAATTCAGGTCCTGCTCTGAATGACGTCACGTATAACGAATCCTTGCTTGTGGCGGAAAGGATTGCGACTATGGACAGTGTAATTCGGTAAGGATTGGTGGAAACAAAGGTTGAAGGCTCGAAAGTTTTTGCCTTGGGAGGGACATTTTAAATTCACAGCCTGAGAATGCTTCAGTCTAAGGCGGTAATTTTTGACAATAAAGGGAACTGAGAAGAACTTACTAAGTCAAGTTAGGCAACTATTAAGAAGTCGCCTCCTATTAATATTAAGAAGACACAGTGACATCGGGATGATGTCATAACACAACTCCACTGCAACTGGGAGAAATGACACATTTGCTTCCAAATCAGAAACGGATATAATAACTCTTAGTCTGAAGTCTGAGAAGGAATAAAATCTTGATTTTATGATTTACAGTGTTAAGTAATAAAGATAATAAATACACTTATTTTCATTTATTCGTGCTCACCTTCCTAGGGCTAAGTCTTAGATAACCACTGAATTAAAACAAATTATAGGACCCCTTCTATTTTAAAAATTGTTCAGTGTTTTCTCGAATGCTTCTAGCTACTCAATAAAGTTAGTGTTGGCTTCTTGATCAAATAATTTATCACTTTATTTTTTACAGTGTTTCAATCTCTTTTATTTAGTTTACAAAATCAATTTGACAGCTCTGATCCCTGACTGTAATGAGAAATATTCTAGATAAGCAGGCAATGTAGCCTCACAAAGTAAAACACGAACAATTATAGTTAATGCTAACAGATCAACCTCTTTGCATGTCTTGAATTAATTTCCTGGGCTTTTCTGTGTTTTGCTTGTCTCCTTTGATGTAACCTTTAGTTAAATTCAGAGAAATGGACAAGTTGTAATTAATTTTATATGGGTGAATGATTTGAGAATGTTTTAAGTATTTATATTTCTGGGTTTTTAAGATCAAATCCTCTCCTGGGATAGAATTTCTTTCGTGGTAATTGGTGTGCAGGATTTAAGGCGGCGCTTAGATCCCAACAGAAATGTCAATGTTCATTATACACAAATAATAGATGGAGCGAAGTTTGTTAAAGGAAACCTCTGTTAGACGAAGATCAAAATGTTCAAACATAGCCGACATAACCGACATGTGACGCATCCGGCCCCTGGGCCACGAGTTTGACAGCCTTGATGTAGCCGACGTGTCTCTCTCCTTCCCCCTCGTTTGCTTCCTACGGAGACCCCTCCGGTCTTTCTAGCCATCTTTGCACTCCGATGCTGCACACTTCTCCCCTGGGCTGGAGTATTGCAATTTGACCTCCTCTCTCTCTCTCTCTGTCTCTCTCTAGAACTGCCCTGAAGGAAGAGAAGCTCCTCTTGGTCCAGACCGGCTCCAGTTCGCCCTGCTTGGACCTCAGGTTTGCCATCTTGCCGGTCGTTGTAAAATAAAAACGATAAGCATAAGAGTCGGTGCCTTTTCCGTGGGTTTGAAGCCTGAATGGCTGACTTCCCCAGGCTGATCGGCTTCTGAAAGTAAGCTCAGCCCCCACCCCCCAAGCTCCTTCCTGTGGCCTTGCTGGCTGGGGGATTCTGGGAGTGCAAATACTCGTGGCCTCTCCCCCCTCTGTGTCTGGTGTGCAATGCTGTATAGTGTCGTTTTGAGGGAAGGAGTTGAAACCAATTTACGTCCGGGATGTGTGAGGGGTCAGTAGATATTTTCCCAGCCCTCTTCTGGACTCCTCCTGCAGGATATACAGGTCCTCCATGGAAGGCAGGTTGGCAATAATGGAAGATGAAGTGTTTGTA